CCTTCTTTAAGCCCGAGGGGTCCCCCGCCAAGCTGACCGACCACGTTGGCTTTGTGGCCAACCTGGCGCACGGGCCCCCGTTCGTGGAGGTGCCCCATCTCCCAGGAGAGAGCCTGATGCCTGCGGAAGACCACAAACTGCTGGCTGTGGTCCCGAGTTCAAGTCTTAAGGAGCAGCAGCAACAGCAGCACAGCCAGGTAGGCCCTTACCTGCCTCTCAACCCCAGGCCCGGCCTGGCTTTCCCAGCCTTCAAGGGCTTCCCAGCAGAGGAAGGGGACTTTAAGGGTAGCGATGCCCCCCTGGGGATGGGGGAGCCTACCCGGAGCCCCGACGTCCACCTTCAAGAGCCGGTTCCCTGCCGGGGGATGGAACAGCTGGAGCCTTGCGTGAACCTGGAGGGGCTTCTCCTACGGGAGACCCCCTTATTGGAAGAGCCGGGCGAGGCCTTTCAGCTGCTGGACCAGATTCCCCTGGAAGACGCCATGAAGCTCTTTGATTGCTCGCCCATCCATTCCGACACCGAGGCCTCCCTGGAGGAGCTGGGCGGAGGGCTCCAGGCTCCAGGGGGGACCGTCCGGGAGGGCTGCTGCTTCTCCAGTCAGGACTCGTCCAGCGACATCCGGTCCCTCAACCTGCCGGACGAGCTGCTTTCCTTCGACTACAGCGTGCCGGAGATCCTCAGCGCCGTGACCAGTTTGGATTATCTCTACGAGGTGAACTCCTTCGGGGAGGAGCACCCATGGGGGAGCAGACTGGGCTCGCCGCCACCGCCTCTCCCGCGGCTCCTCAGGTCTCCCGTGGGCGTGGAGGAGAAGAGGAGGAATACGGCCCCCAGCGGCAGAGCCAGGAAGCCCGAACGGGCATCCGTGCAGGGGGGCGACAGGGAGACTCCAGAGGCGAACTCTGCCCTGCTGGCCCTCTGAGATGGGCGGGAGGGCAACCTGGACATATCTCCATCCTGAGAGTTGGATTCTGATGGATTCGGTGTATTAAAAAAGCATATCCTGAACTCAGAGCAGCCCCTGCCATGTGTGACTCCTTTTCTCTCGTGGGATTCAGCTTCAGGAGAACCTGGGCGGGGGGAGAGACTGTAGTTTTTCTGGAATCAGAGTGACCTACCCCCCCGGGGAAATCTAGTCCAGGGCTTTTCAACCAGTGGTACGGGTACCACCTGTGGTACATTGGCCCCTGGCAGGTGGTACGCGAGCATCCTAGGAAAGGTGTAGCAGGGGAGGGGAATGAGCTGAACCGGTGGCAGCACAAGCCTGAGCGAGAGACGGCTGGAGCTGCAGGGCTGTCGGGGCTCAGCAGAAGCGCCAGGATCAGTGCCGCTTTCCAGCTGATTGGCGCTTTGGGGCTGTCAGGACTCAGCCGAAGCGCCAGGCTCAGCGCCAGGCTCAGCTGGAGCTCAGCGCTGATCCTGGTGCTTCTGCTGAGCCCTGAAGAAGCGCCAATCAGCTGGAAAGCAGCACTGATCCTGGCGCTTCTGCTGAGCCCAGAAAATGTGCCGATCAGCTGGAATGTTGCAGCATCTCCAGGGTCTTGTGATTTACATTCAGATGCTTGGCAACTGATTCATATTTATGATGGTCACCAGGTCATGTGAAGTGACCAAAACCTGCTGCAACCACCCAGCAGATGGGGGGAATAAAAACCAAACACCCCCCCACACTGCCAATCCCCAACAGAAATGCTCACAACAATGGAAACCTCGGACAGGAGGAAGAGCGCGGGTGGGCGGGCAGGCAGGTGTCTTGCTCAGCTGTGCCTTAGGGGGCACTTTTTTTCAGTGCCATTGTAACTTCAAACAGTCACTAAATGGACTGTTGTAAGTCAAGGACTACCTGTACTTCATCATTTTTTTCCTTTTTTTTTTTGGGTCAAGTTTTTGACCCCTTGCTAGGCGACTGGTGGTTCTCGGATGTTGCCATATCCTAAAAGTGGTACAGTGGGTGAGAAGGTTGAAAAACCCTGATCTAGTCCAACCCCTGGATTGGTGTAGGCATCCAAATGGAAGTTTCCCAGAGGAGGGGGCTGCCCAGCTGCTTCCTGACCACATCTGGGGAGTGGGATATATTTAACATTCAGGGGATGTTTCAAAGAACATCGGAGGAATAAGTGCCTTTAATCCGGTGGCCGCTGGTTGGCCTTGACTGGCTGTGCCAGGGTGAGAGTTGGACCCAGCCCAGGGGCATTCAGCGTGGGAGTGCGATGGCACTGCCATGCATGAGGGCTTTAATATTCTGGCCTTGTTTTTATTTCCTGGGTTGATGATGCGAGCCACCCAGGGATATTATGGAAGATTCATTCACCCGTCCATCCATTCGATATGCCACCCATATCAATAGCAATAAGGACTTAGACTTATATACTGCTTCACAGCGCTTTCACAGCCCTCTCTAAGCGGTTTAGAGAATCAGCCTATTTGCTCCCAACAATCTGGGTCCTCATTTTACCGACCTGGGAAGGACGGAAGGCTGAGTCAACCTTGAGCTGGTCAGGATCAAACTCCTGGCAGTGGGCAGAGTCAGCCTGCAATGCTGCATTCTAACCACTGTGCCACCACAGCTTTTTCTTTCTTTCTTTCTTTCTTTCTTTCTTTCTTTCTTTCTTTCTTTCTTTCTTTCTTTCTTTCTTTCTTTCTTTCTTTTTTCTTTCTTCCCTCCCTCCCTCCCTCCCTCCCTTCACACTTACCAATAGCCCTTAGATTTATATACTGCTTCACAGTCCTTCACTAAGCGGTTTAAAGACTCAGCCTATTTGCCCCCAACCATCTGGGTCCTCATTTTACTGACCTGGGAAGGACGGAAGGCTGAGTCAACCTTGAGCCGGTCAGGATCGAACTGCTGGCAGTGGGCAGAGTCAGCCTGCAATGCTGCATTCTAACCACGGTGCCATCACGGTTCTTTCAAGAGAAAGGAAGGAAGAGAAGGAAGGAAGGAAGGAAGGAAGGAAAGGAAGAAAAAAGAAAGGAGAGGAAAGAAGAGGGAGAGAAAAAGAGAAGGGAAATAAGAGATGGAGGGAGGAGGGAAAGGAAAAATGGAGAAAAAGAAGGGAAGGAGGGAGAGAATAGCAATACTTATATACCAGTTCACGCTGCCTTTACAGCCCTAAGCAGTTTACAGAGTCAGCCTATTTGCTCCCAACAGCCTGGGTCCTCATTTTACTGACCTGGGAAGGACGGAAGGCTGAGTCAACCTTGAGTCGGTCAGGATCAAACTCCCGTGGGCAGAGTCAGTGGGCAGAGTCAGCCTGCAAATGCTGCATTCGGACCGCTGCGCCATCACGGCTCAAAGTTTAATTATTTGGGGCTGCTTAAATCATTTAAATTATTATCTCAATTATTGAATGAACGAATGAACGAATCTACACCAAGAAAATAAATATTTTGTATGCCGCTTTGTTGCTGCATTTATCACCAGGTTCAAAACTTTGTTGTCCCCATTTTCGGCTATACTTGCACACCCACAACTGAAAGCTGTGTGCAGTTGAGACAGACCCAACTTGTAAATAGGTCACCGATTCACACAGACGTCCCTGTGCACATTCAGCCAGATTAACCATTGCCTGCCAGGGTTGTGGTGTTTCCAGCTTGCTGAGGATTGGGAGAACTACAGGAGGTTCCTGGCGCAACCACGACAACCTGGGGGATTCTGGGAAGTGTGCCTGCAGGAAGACGGCTTTGCCATTCTTCCCGTCGAGTGGCTGTTTGTCCTAGGAGTACAGGTAATCCTCGACGTACGACCACAATGGAGCCCAACATTTTTGTTGCGAAGCAAGATGTTTGTTAAGCGACATTTGCCCCATTTTTATGACCTTTCTTGCCGCCATTGTTAAGTGAACCCACTGCAGTTGTTAAGTGAGGAACACGGTCGCTAAGTGAATCCGGCTTTCCCATTGGCTTTGCTTGTCAGAAGGTCACCAAAGGGGATCATGTAACCCCGGGACACTTCAACCGTCATAACTATGAGTCAGCTGCCAACTGTCCGAATTTTGATCCTGTGACCATGGGGGGGGGGGAATGCTGCAATGGTCATAAGTCTGAAAAACAATTGTAAGCCGCTTTTTTCAGTGCCATTTGAACGGTCGCTACATGAACTTTTGTAAGTTGTAATCGAGAACTGTATTCCTCAACCTGAGCAACTTAAAGATAGGTGGACTTCAACTCCCAGAAGTCCACCATCTTCAAGTTGCTCAGGTTGCAAAACACCGTCCTAGAGCACCAGTTGGCAACCCGCGGCTCCAGAGCCGCATGTGTGTGTGTAAAAAAGAGAGTGGCCTCACGCAGTTCTCTGACGAGCTGACAAGCTTATTGGGCGGGGCTCCTCCCTTTGCTGCGTCTCTGCAGGAAGCAGGAAGGGCAGGACAGAGCCAGCCCAATAATGTATGTCAGCTTGTTGGAGAAGAGCCTGAAGCCGGTTTGCCAGGTGAGCAGAAGATCGGAGACAGGGAGAGAGAGAGAGAGAGAGAGAGAGGGAGAGAGAGGGGGAAAGAGGAAAGAGAGAGACAGAGAGAGAGAGAAAGAGAGATGGAGAGAGAGGGAGAGGAAAGAGAGCAAGAGAGAGAAAGAGAAAGAGAGAGGAAGAGAGACAGAGAGGGAAAGAGAGAGAGGAAAGAGAAAGAGAGAGGAAAGAGAAAGAGAGAGAGAGGGAAAAGAAAGAGAGAGAGAAGGTGAGGAAAGAGAAAGAGAGGAAAGAGAGAAAGAGAAAGAGAGAGAGCGGGAGAGGAAAGAGAAAGAGAGAACTCATGCACAGCAGCCTCTATTTCTTTTTAATTCAACTCTTCAATCAAGCTCCGCTCCCCTGCTACCACTTTTCTAGGATGGTCGCGTACCACCTGCCAGGTGCCAATGTACCACAAGTGCTACCTGTACCACTGGTTGAAAAGCCCTGTCCTAGAGTATCCATCCTCCAGCGGTGACCCATGTGGGCCCAGGAGAAGACGGTACTTAGCTGCGTGCGACGACAGGCAAAGAGAGATTCAAGGACAATGACGCATGCTCACGATTGGCCACAGTGTCAATTTATTTAGCAAGAGTCGGCGAGGACGCCGGACGAACCCCCCTTTCTCTCACGAGGCGCAAAATTGACACGTATAGACTTGGATCACAGTGGCACCTCGGCAGGTTTTCCCCTCGGTGAGTGGAGTCAGTTAAGGCAGAGAGAAAGAGCAGGAGGGAGGACGGGGGTTGGGGGTGGGTGAAGGAGAGCTGGCCGGGGGCCCTTGCAAAGAGAAGGACCGGGCCGACTGCCGAGGACCTTCTCTGTCTTTGCTGGACACCGGCCCGTCTTTGGCGAAGACCCGTAAACACGAGACGGAATCAAGAGGCACAACGTCATCTGTAAGGACCGGGAGTCCTCACAGGGCATCACTCGGAAAGCCTTGGCATTCTCGGCAGAGTCGGGGTTGAGGGGCACAGGACCTGCCCATCGGCCGGAGGCTAGATCTCCTGCAAGGACGGGCCGGGGTCGCTGTGCTCGCGCTTCACCTGGGGCTTGCAAGCTCCGGCCTCGTGCCCTAGGGCGCCGAAAGTGTCTGCGGGAAAGAGAAAGATAGGCCCAGCCTTAACCTGGGAGAATGGGGGAAGAAAGCTCCCCAACGGACTGGGAAGAGGCCTCCCCATGGAGGAGGGCCAGAGGATCCGTACCTTTCTCGAGCATAGCCGGAGACAGGGAGGCCAGGTCGCTGAACTGGAAAAGAGAAGACGACGGGGGTTCAATGGGGCTCCCAAGGCCCATCGCAAGTCCCTCACTTTGACGCACCCACAGCTGACCCATCACAAAGCCTACTGACCACACGAAGAACAACGACACAGACACCCCCTAAACGCCGCTGAAGACGTTGCCTAGCCTGGGAACGAAACGTTCGGAAACCGACCCGCCAGCTCGGAAACGACCCTCCACCCTCATGCGACACCCGAGCGCCAGATATGGGCCACTAGAGCAGTGGTTCTCAACCTTTCTAATGCCGCAACCCCATAATACAGTTCCCCATATTGTGGTGACCCCCAACCACTTATACATCACCGGGTGCCAGGGCCGTGGCCAAAGAAAAGGGGGGGAAAAATGGCAGACAGCCTTGTTTGGCGACCCCCGTGAAATGGTCGTTCGACCCCAAATGGGGTCCCGACCCCCAGGTGGAGAACCACTGCACTAGAGCAAATTCAGATTCCTGTCTCGGTGCAAAGCCAGCACTGGGAGGCCGAAGGGTGAGGAGGGGGTTGGGGGGGGTCTTCCTGAACTGAGCAGGCCTCTCCAGAAAGGGAGAAGGTGTTTCCACTCCCTCTGGGCAGATAGTTTTAAAGAGGGAGAATCATCCAGCTGGCTGGCCGTCCACCTTGCTTTTGTCCATATGCGTTTCTCTGGGTTTCTGACAGCCTTTGGGATGGAGGGGGGGGACGCTTCCCCCACCCCAAAAGGCCTCCCCAGCCATGATTACTGTCCTGCAAGAGACTCCGCCAACCCACCTGCCCAGAAGCAGGAAGGAGAACGCGGCTCCCCCTGCTTGCTCCCCCTTCAGACGTTGTGGGTGCTCCATCGCTGGAGGTTTTTAAGGAAAGACCAGACAGCCATTTGTCCAGAATGGTATAAAGCAGTGGTTCTCCACCTGTGGGTTGGGACCCCATTTGGGGTCGAACGACCATTTCACGGGGGTCGCCAAACAACGCAGTCCACCATTTTTCCCCCCTTTTCCTTAGCTGTGCTACTCCCTTTTATTCTGTTGGCTTTTGAAAGCCAATAGAAGAGACTCTCTTGAATAGAGTCTGATTCGATTGGCTTTCCAAAGCCAATAGGAATGGTCCAGGCTGTCTCTGCCCTGCTGAGCCCGCCAAAAATCCCATTCTGCAAACTGCGCTGCACCCGTCGAGCAGTCCTCGACTTACGACCGGTGGAGTCGTCCTCGGCTTACGACCGGTTGGGGGGTCGCGGCATTAAAAAGGTTGAGAACCACTGGTATAAAGTCTCCTGCTGGAGCGGGGGGTTGGACTAGAAGACCTCCGAGGTCCCCTCCAGCTCCGTTATTCACCCAGCCACCAGAAGGATTCTGGTGGCTCCCTGCGCGGCTGCTGGCAAGCCGTGCCCAGCGCTCACCTCTCCCATCACGGCGATGGGCGTCTCCCCCGTGGCTTCGGCCACCCGGTGCTCCACCAGGTAGAACATGTACTCATCGTAGAGGAGACGGATCAGGTGGAAGGAGCCAAAACTGGCGGCGCTGCGCAAGGTGAGGTCGCGGATCACCATGGAACTGAGGGGGGAAAAAAAGAAGGGTCCGGCAGCTGAGTCTGAGAGCTGGGGGGTGGGTGGGACGGGGTGGGGGGGTGGGGGGGGGGAGAGGCCCCATCCTGGTTTTGGAAGAGAAACGGGACTGTTTCTGCTCTGGGAAGGTCTCTCTGCAAGCAAAGTGTGTGTGTGTGTGCGCGCGCACGCGCTGATAGAAGGGAATATTTGTAGGGTTGAACTCAGAGTTCTGAGCTTGGCTGTTTTCTTGCAGATATTTCATTACACAACGAGGTAACAGCATCAGTGGTACACCGGGGGGGGGGAGGAGGAGGAGGAGGAGGAGGAGGAGGAGGAGGAGGAGGAGAAAAAGTAGTTGTGGGGTCCTTGGTGCTCTCTGATCTTGGTGGTTCTCTTGCAGTTGTTTTTATACAACTAGGTAACAGCATCAGTGCTAGAAAGGAGAGGTGTGTGGGTAGAGGAGGAGGAAGAGGAGAAGGAAGAGGGGGAGGAGAGGAGGAGGAGGAAGAGGAGGAGGAGGAGAAAGAGTAGTTGTGGGATCCTTGGTGCTCTCTGATCTTGGTGGTTCTCTTGCAGTTGTTTCATTATACAACTAGGTAACAGCATCAGTGCTAGAAAGGAGGGGTGTGTGGGGAGAGGAGGAGGAAGAGGAGAAGGAAGAGGGGGAGGAGGAGGAGGAGGAGGAAGAGGAGGAGGAGGAGGAGGAGAAAGAGTAGTTGTGGGATCCTTGGTGCTCTCTGATCTTGGTGGTTCTCTTGCAGTTGTTTCATTATACAACTAGGTAACAGCATCAGTGCTAGAAAGGAGGGGTGTGTGGGAAGAGGAGGAGGAAGAGGAGGAGGAGGAGAAGGAAGAGGGGGAGGAGGAGGAGGAGGAGGAGGAGGAGGAAGATGAGGAGGAGAACTGTGGGGTCCTTGGTGCTCTCTGAGCTTGGCCGTTTCTTGCAAATGTTGCATGACCCAACCAGGTCACATCACTACAACTAATGCATTATCATCATTTGTGTGTGCGCGTGTGCGTATTTATATCCATGGGTGTGGGCAGGGGTTCCAACTGAACGGCGCAACGACAGGCTCTTCCAAGTAAGGGAGTCCTCCGCAAGTAGAAAGCCAGCAGATCAGACTGCAGGACCGGTCAGTTTCGCTGCCCCCTCGGGTCCATGTCTCTCCACAGGGGCGCAGGGCTCTCTGGTCCTCGGGGGAGGAAGGGCTGGGGGGGGGTGGGGGGGGCGAGGCAGGGGCCTTACCTGTAGAAGGACCACTTCAGCAGAAACTGCCGGGCCGCCCGGGGGAAGCTGGGCGCGCCCTCGTGCGGCTTCAGCACCTGGGTGACCACCTCGTCCAGCCATCTGGCCCACTGGTCCAGGGAGCTTTGCTGCTGCAGCGTCACCTTGAAATCCTGCTCCAGTTTCTGCACCAGGCCCTCTTCGCACTGGCAGACCCAGGAGGCTTGCTCCTGCCATGGGGGGAGGGGGGGAGGGAGGGGGGGGAGACACCCAGAGAAGGTTGAAAGCTCAAGAAGAGACCTGTGGCTCAGGGCCAAAGGGAGCCCTGAACGTGGTGCCCTCTGAGCTCGGTGCGTCTCCTGCGGGCGTTTCGTGACCCAACTGAGTAACGTCATCCGTGCTAGAAGGGGGGGGGTGGGGGAAGCAGAAGAGGAGGAGGAGGAGGAGGAAGAGGAGGAGGAGGGAGGGAGGTGGAAGACAGTGAGGCCCTGGGTGCCCTCTGAGCTTGGTGCTTTTCCTGCAGGCGTTTCATGGCCCAACTAGGTAACGTCATCAGTGCTAGAAGGGGTGGGTGGGTGGAGGAAGCAGACGAGGAGGAGGAGGAGGAGGAGCAAGACAGTGGGGTCCTGGGTGATCTCTGAGCTTGGTGCTTTTCCTGCAGACTTTTCATTACCCAACTAGGTAGCATCATCAGGGCTAGAAGGGAGGAGGGGGAGGGGGACAGCGGCCCACATTCACTAGCATGGATGGGGTCACCTGTCTGGGTCACGAAACGTCCGCAAGAGCACCCCCACGCTCCCACCCAGGACCCCCTACCCTCATTTCAACATTCTCAACATTTGTGCCAAAGAAAACTCAAATTTTAAGTCTCGGGGGAGGGGGCATCCGACAGGCGCGCCGGAATACGATCCCACCCAGCGGTGTGCCCGGGGCCACCAGGCGCCCCGCCTCCCTGCTCCCCCACACCCCCGGGAGACCCCGAGACCCGGACGGACCTGGACGTTGGCAAAATCCACCCGGTTCAGGTCGCTGAGCATCTGGTTGATCTGGGAGGTGTTCTGGAGGACGGCCCGCGCGGCCTGGGCCAGGTGGTTGAGAGAGGTGTACCTGCGCAGGGTCTGAGCAAAGGCGCTCACTACGCTCACCTGGGGGAAGAGAGAGCGTCAGGCGCCCCGGGTGGGAAGCGGGGGACAGGGAGGGGCCCCGGGGGGGCTCCTTTCAACCAGCAAAGGGACCCTCACGAACCCCCCCCCCGGCCAGGATGTTTAAAATTGACATTATAATTCAAAAGAAACTTTTTTTTGTGTGCCCAAGATTGGGGGGGGGGAGAAAAGAATCTTCGGCTTTGGATGTGGGCGATTAGATAAATTTGTGGTCAACAGAAACGGCTCGTGCGTATTAAATACGGGGTGGTTGATAATATCGGTAATATATCTCAGCTCACTCCTAATAATAATAATAACCACTTGAACACCATCGGCATTGACAAATTCGCTATTAGTCAATTGCAAAAGGCGGCCTTACTAGGAACTGCTTCCATCCTGCGACGATACCTGTAATACCATCAAACATCCACATCTGCCTATCCCAGGTCCTGGGTAAGGACTCGATAGGTAGACAAAATGCCAAATCCAGTCTGAACATCTGGCTGACTGTGCGATGATCGATAATAATAGTAATGATAATGATGATGATGATGATGATAATTATAATAATAATAATGTCAGAAGGGACCTTGGAGGTCATCTAGTCCAACCCCCTGCTCAGGCAGGAAACCCTAGACCATTTCAGACAAATGGCTGTCCAGTCTCTTAAAAACGTCCAGTGTTGGAGCATTCACCGCTTCTGGAGGCAAGGAGTTCCACTGGTTAATTGTTCTAACTGTCAGGAAGTTTCTCCTTAGTTCTAGGTTGCTTCTCTTTTTGGTATATGTATATATCCGAACTACACTGTGTTGTTACTCTGTGTCATAGAATATATGTGGGTATATGCAATTTTCTGGGGGGGGGGGTCATATTTATGTTGTGTATATCGGAGGTGGTGACCCGCAACAGGTTGTTCCACTGGCTAATTGCTCTCACTGTCAGGAAGTTTCTCCTTAGTTCCAGGTTGTTTCTCTCCCTGTTTAGTTTCCATCCGTTGCTTCTTGTCCTGCCTTCGGGCGCCTTGGGAAATAGCTTGGACTTTTATAGTATTTTATTTATGTGGCCTATAGGTTTTGTATAGCTTTATCTCGGTAATGTTGTAAGGCGCCCAGAGTTACCCTGTGTTAAAATAATACATTTAACAATGTATTGAGGCTGTGATCACGTGTTCTACTGTGCTACTGCGTGTCGGAGGGGCTACAGCTGCAGAGGTCAAGCCAGCCTTTAGGGCTGGTCCCAGAGGTGCTTTTTTCCCAGGACTTTCTTTGTTTTTTATTTTATTTATTTATTTATTTATGAGACTTATATACCGCTTTAAGTGCAAGCACTCTCTAAGCGGTGTACACCAGTAAGCAATGTATATATATATATATTTACATTGCCCCCAACAATCTGGGTCCTCCTTTTACCTACCCCGGAAGGATGGAAGGCTGAGTCAACCTTGAGCCGGTGAGATTCGAACCGCTGACCTGCTGAACACAGTCAGCTAAAGTGGCCTGCAGTACTTGCACTCTACCTGCTGCGCCACCTTGGCTCATGTTTTTCCTTTGAAGACGTTTCCCTTCTCATCCCAGAAGCTTCTTCAGCTCTGACTGGATGGTGGGGAAGGGAAGGATTTATACTCCTCGCAGACAGCTGGTCATTTGCCTTCCTTTAGAGAGTCATTGAGGCCACTTGGAGGTTTATCTCTGTGTCCTCAGGGTCACCTGAGGGGTGCAAAGGGGTGTGGAGCTTTCTTGGAGCTGCTGAAGGGATCGTGTTGTAGACTGCAGATAGACGCTGTCGTATCCCCCCCCCATTTTTTGAGAGAGAGGGCTGTTCAATTTGGACCCAGATGCCCTCTTGGATGCCTCTCTCAAGCCAGCGGTCCTCTCTGTCCAAAATGTGGACTTTCCTGTCCTCGAAAGAGCGGATTTTGTCTTTCAAACGCAGACGGACGGCTGACTCTGCTCCTGGTGGGTTGGTTCTCCTCTGTTGTGCCAAGCGC